GGGGGGGAATTTGATTTTTGTGTCTACTTCTTGTGATTTTTCAGTACTTCTAAAAAATTAATAAATCACGTGCCTATTAAGATGGCTACTATAAAAGAAAACAGAAAATAGCAAGTGTTGGCAAGGATGTGGAGAAACTGGAACTCCTGTGCACTGTTAGTGGAATGCAAAATGGTGCAACCACTATGGAAAATAGTCTGGAGGTTCCTGAAAAAATTAAAAATAGAACTACCTTATGATCCAGCAATCCTACTTCTGGTTATTTACCCCAAATAATTGAAAGGAGTCTCAAAGAGATATTTGTACACCCATGTTCACTGCAACATTATTCACAATAGCCAAGAGGTGGAAGCAACACAAAACACCCATCAATGGATGAACTTATAAAGAAGATGTGGTATATGCATGCAGTGGACTATTCAGCCTTCAAAAAGGAAGGAAATTCTAACTCATGCTACAACGTGGATGAATCTCGAGGACATTATGCTATGTGAAATAAGCCAGTCTCAGAAGACAGATACTGTATAACTCCACTTATACGAGGTACCTAGAGTAGTCAAATTCATAGAGACAGAAAGTGAAATGGTGGTTACGAGGGGCTGGGAGCAGGGGGCAAAGGGAATAATTGTTTAATAGCTATAGAGTTTTAGATTTGCAGGATGAAAAAGTTCTGAAGATCTGTTTCACAACAATGTGAATATACTCAACACTACTGAACTGTGCACTTAAAAATAGCTAAAATGGTAAATTTTCTTATTTTTTACCACAACAAAAAAATTAATAAATCATTTTTATCACCACTAGACTATATATAAGCAAGCCATAAATACAGTAAGAAGGGCTATTCTCAAGACTGAGAAGTCACTGCGGGTTGCGTACAGTGCTGTTTGTCCGTACAATGTTCGTATAATTCATCTGTTTTTTATTCTCCCAGCAATGCCATTGGTCCCCTGGTAGCCTTGTGGCTGATTTATGAACAAGGTGCAGTCCTCCAAGAAGCAGCTACTCCCATCTGGCTGCTGTTTTATGGAGGAGTTGGAATTTGCACAGGGCTTTGGGTGTGGGGAAGACGAGTGATCCAGACCATGGGGAGAGACCTCACTCCAATCACACCATCCAGGTAAGCCAGGGGCACAGGCTGGTGGGCAGGGCTGGCCCTTTGAGGCCTGTGCAGAGTTGGTATGTCTGAAAGTCCTCTTGTGCTGCTTTTGCGCCCCGACCCCCTGTCCCCCTCAGCACAGACACTGTGCAGCTGGGAGTTGCAGTGAGCAGGGCGTAGAGGGTAAGCAAACCCTACCTTTGCTGTCCACCCATCACCGCCCTCCCGCAGGCTCTCTTGAGGCCCCATCCCCAGTGGCACTGAGATGAGGGGCTGCAAACCACACCCATGGTCCAGGGCCTGCTTTTCCCCCAATTCTCCACCACACCAGCTCCACCTAGTGGACGCAAGCAGCTCTCACCTGCCGCCCTTCTGAGGTTACTTTGTGTCCTGTCCCCCTGCCAACCTCAGCCCTCTGAGGTGGTGGGGTCCGGAGACTCGGGGTTTTCTCTGTAGTCCTGTTGTCCTTTTCGCTAACCTTTAGCTGGAGTAGGGGTTAAATAACAAACTCACAGGAGAACTTTAGAAGGATACAACTAAAATTTGGAACTACCTATTGTAAGAAATCTTTTCCCTCTTGAAATTAATTTTAATGATTCTTTTATAAGAATGACTTCAAGAAAAATTAATGATCTTGAGAAAAATACACTTTTTTGGTAATAAGTACACATTTTAAAAATTTATCTTTATTGTTGAAAGTTTTACAGACGTACCCCTTTTCCCCCCTCTTTGACTCCCTCATAAGTACACATTTTAAAAATGAAAGTATATAGCTTTTCGTGCTCCACTTTAGAAATGACTAAGTGGTCATTTTTTTACACAGCAGGAATTTCTGACCCAGTTACTACAGGGTGTGGGTTTTCAAAACACCAGAAAAACAAGACTGTTTGGGGCTGTAAACAGTGTAACGCGGAGCCTTAGTGTGAATCGTTGCCATTGTACAGCAGTTTCTAGCTCTATTAATGTCATCTGGCCCAGTCAGGAGTCCACAGTCGATTCAAAGAATGTTCTGGTGAGACTTTGGCGCCCCTGGGGTGTCAGTGAGGCGGATACAAAGAGCGCCTGTGATGTGTCTCCTCTCTCCCTCCCACAGCGGCTTCACCATTGAACTGGCCTCAGCGTTCACAGTGGTGATCGCCTCCAATGTGGGGCTTCCTGTCAGCACCACTCACTGCAAGGTAGGCCCCCGCCAGCACCCCCTTTCTTCAGGCTGCTGGGATCTGAGAAAAGCTGGTTGTCCTTTATATATTGTTGTTTGTGAAAAAAGTCGTCAGGGCTTGCTGGGTGCACTCGAGCATTGTTGGATGTGGGGCGTTTGCTTTTCTCAGACTGTCTCTCTCGACCTCTCCTGCTCAGCAGTGTGACACCTCTGGTCGTGCAGACTGCTTTTCAATGCATGCCTGGCAAGAGCTTTTCTCCTTCGATGTGTGCTTCACACTTTCCATCTGTCCTGTTTCTCTCTCGTTTCCACGGTGGATTTTGCATTGAAGTCATGTGTGCGCTAACCATATTTGTAGGCTCAAAGGGGACAGGCCACTCAGTTCTAACCCATTGCAGGGGACTGGGAGTTGACAGTGGAACTAGAGATAAGCAGAAGTCATCTCAATGGAATTGTAAGACATAGTTGTTTCAGTTCTTTTTCCTTCTATGATGGTCAAAGTGACTGCATTTCCTTAGAAATTCCAGATGAGGGGTCGTGCTTAATATTGCTCGCTGCCAATGCTTTAAAACTCAGGGCTGTGCGAGAGGAAATTCCTTGCTATAGGGGTGGGATGTTGGAGCTGTAAGGAGCCTTAAAGAGTCATGAAGAGGAGATGGGCTCCGTGAGTTTTGGGGAGTTATCCGAGATCACTCAGGGTGAAGCCAGGACTAGAGCCCAGGTCTGATAACCCAGGTCTGGAAAATTCTAGAACAGCTTTAATGGGCACCCTGTAAACAAAAATAGTCCCTAACTTCTACAAAGCAAAAGTCACCTCCAGACTTTTCCTAGGTTTGCTTGTATCATTCAAGAAAAATGGATTTGTACCTGCTGTGTGTGAGGTACTGTTCTACATTTACACACAATTTAAAAACTCCAACCATTGTGCTTATGAACAAATGTGAATGGCGTGGTGCTTCAACTATTAAGGCCAGGCAGTGTTCATGGGACTCTTTTTTAGTGGGCCAGCTGACAAAACTAGAGCCCTACATGGAGAATCAGCCTTATGGGAGAGGGTTTGTGTTTTCTTGTTTCTTTTTTTTTTTTTTGCTACAGAATATAAAATAACTTCAATTTCCACACACTTTCATTTTAAAAATTACTTCCACTTACTGAGTATATACAGAGTGCCAGGCACTGTGTTTAGTGCTCTAAACAGGGGTGGGCAAAAGTAGGTTAAATTATCAGCCATCATTACCTAAAAGATAAATCATAAAGATGCAAAAGAATAACTACTACTACTACTAAGACAAGTAATATAAACAAATCATACAGTAATTACTAAATAAATAATAATACAATAATAAACTCTGTGTTGCACATACAACTGTAAACCTACTTTTGCCCACCCCTGTATGTACAAAGTACGTCATTTAATCCCCACAGCAGCCCTTCGAAATTGCTACTGGTATGCCCAATTTACAGATAAGGAAACCGAGGCTTCCAGAGTTAAGTCACTTTCCCAAGGTCATACATTTAACATGCGATAGAAGCATTCAGACCTTCACCTCATGCTCTGGACCTTCTAATCGTAATCATAATCATCATAATCCTGGTCACCAACCACAAGTAAGGGGCGTGGGGCAGGCGCTCTCTGCTGGGCACTGTTTTAAGTGCACTGAATAACTGACTTGTTTAACCCTCCGCCAAACCTTCTGAGGGTATAGTGCCAATGCTACCCAGTTTTACCAATGAGGACACTGACACGTAGAAGGGTTACCTCACTTGTCCTGACACAACTGGCGAGTGGCCTGCTGAGGTCCAACCTGCGCAGTGGGGCCCAGAGTCCTGCTCCCCAGCCCTCCACACACATGCCTCTCAAGTCCAAAGAAGGCAGGCAGGAAAAGGAAGGTGGTGCGCTCCTGCCGTTCTCCTACCATTGTTATTTTTCTAATTTTGGTTATTTAAAAATTACAAGAGAGCGCATGTTCACTGAAATATGTCAGACAATACTGTATGGGATGAAAGGCGATCATCTTCCCCCTTACTCCAGCTCAGCTTCAACTCACTGTGGTGTGTGGGAGCCTAGACGAAATGATGTTAAATATATTCATTCCTTCCCAAGGAAGTAGGGTTTAAACTTTTCTGTAGGTATAAATAGTCTTTTGGGGCTGCTTGAAAATAAGCATTACCCTCTTTTTAATGATTAACCCTGCACTTGAGCAAGCCTAGTGAAGGCCAACTTTTTCACACCAGGTTAAAGATCTCTGGAAAAAACAACACAAGTTTGTTTTTTCTAGGTTATTATTGTTTTTTACCAAACTGTATTTGTAAGCTAACCTATACTGATGCATAGAGTGAAGTGTTATGGCTGAAACTACTAATCTTGCTAATTTAACACTAAATTCTATAATACAGCGTATGAAATAGATGAAAAGTATAAAATGCCTATAAAAACTACATTCTTATATGGTCAACTTTAAATGCTATTTCCCCAATATTTATATTTATACTATAATAAGGAGGCGCTACTAAGGGATTTATATCCAGTTTGTACAGGACATTAGTGAATAAATGTGTGTGTTAGCATTACCCTAAAATAGCTAGACAAATTTTATGATAGGTATTGTTTCCTTAGAGCTGTTGATTAGTGTTAGAATAGCTTGTTGGCACTTGTGTTAAAACAAGTCTCCTTAACATGGGACCACAGTGGATGTCATCCATCAAATAGACTTGAGGCAGAGCTCAACTTGGAATCTAGTCAGTTTGTCCAGTGTCATTGATCATGGACTTCTGGACAAAGCCCAGAGCTAGTTATTGCAATAGCTGAAGGCCAGAGTCCTGGCTCTCAAGAACTCGCAGGAGACAGAGACACTCATCAAGGGCCATAGTAGGAGTGCCAAGAAGAGTTCACAGTTGCCATCCCCACATTATACTTGTTCTGTTACATCACATTTTCTTTTGCTTGCAATGGTCCCCAAATGGCAAGTATGGGATGAAATATGAGAGACGTGGGGTGGAGTAAGAATGAGGCCCTCTGTGAGCGAAGCTGTGAGCCTGGGAACATTCAAAGGGTGTCGATACCCACATAAAACCCTAACAATCCCGTCGGGTTTCCCGGAATAATCCGACCCTGTTGGATTTTTTCTACTCTCTGCATCGTCTCCCATCTACTTTTTTGGTGTTTTGCTTAGCGTCACCTCCATTAGAAGGTGGTGGGCAAAAGTTAGGAACTTGGCAGGAAAAAAAGGAAACTATTGTGTAAAATGAGCTTTTTAATTTATCTGGGTAGGTTTCATTTATTCCTGTTTCCCTCTCAGCGTACCAGTATTTAATACAGACAGGCCTTTGTGGGCTCTGTAATAGGAATTCAGAGTGGTGGTATCCAATTGTTTTAACTCATATTCGGGGGGCTTGGGATTCTTCTTTTTTGGGAATTCCCCACATTGTTCATCTCTGTTGATGACATAGATGATTACTTAACTAGCCTTTGGATTTGGGACAGCTTATAGGAAGCACTACTGATTTTAAAATTTAGGATTATAATTTCTAATTTAATTTTCTAATTCTTGCTCTCTGGTTCCCCTACTTCTCAGTAATTCAATTGCTGTTAGTGCCTGATGGTGGCCTTATGCCAGAAACACACTCAGCTTCCTAAGAGGGAAGTTAGAACACAGGAAATACCTGTGTGTGAGACACTGTGTTAGTGGATGGGAAAACTAGATTTTGTAAAGATGTCAGTTCTCCTCAAATACAACCCCAACCAAATTTTTCTTACAACTTTACAAAGTGAATCTAAAGTTAATTTGGTAAGTTAAATTAGCAAGAACATAAAAAACAAACAAAAACAATGACAAGGAGGGACTGACCTTGCCAGATAGAAAGTATATTATAAGGAAATAAGAGGAAAAAATAGATGGAGGTGAGGGGATAAGGAATTGAGTTAATGGGGATAGAGTTTGGGAAGATGAAAAAGCTCTGGAGATGATGGTGAGAATGGTTGCAAAACAATGTGAATATACTTTATGCCACTAAATTGTACAACTTAAAAATGGTTAAAGTGATAAATTTTATGTTATGTATATTTTACCACAATAACAGGAAAAACTTAAGATACTTATATAAAAACAGTAGATAGGCGAGAGAGAGAACCTATTATATAGGAGCATACAGTTTGAGGAAGGGAAAATTTAACCAATAAGGGATGTTAGCTGGCTGTCAATCTAGAAGAACAAAATTAGACCCACAACTCTCAAAATATATGAACATATATCTGATAGCTTAAATAACATTTTTAAATATTTTAAAATTTAGAATAATATATAACGTGATTTTAGAGAATTTAGAATTAAATAGAATTAAATATCAAATATTCAAGCTAAGGATAAATCACAGAAGAAAAGTGCAGCATATTTTATTGCATGAAGTTAGAAACTTGAAAATGAAACAAAGCAAAATACTGGGTTGGGAAAATATTTGCATTAAATATCACAGTTGTTATTCAATAAAGACCACACATAAATAAATAAGGGACACATTTAGATTCCAATATGTAAAAGGGCAAAATACATGAAAAGACCATTTTTTTGTATGTAAAAACTAGAGGAAGTAAAACTGGACAAATAAAAAGTTCAGCCTTAGTCATAATTAAAGATATGCAAATTATAACAACAGTAGCACATTTTTGTTGATTGGTTAGCAAAAAAGAACAATTTACAGGATTGTTGTGGAGTGCTGAAGTTCACAGATTATGGGCGACCTTGTATATTTATAAAACTATTTGGCAGTACGTATTGAGGTCCTAGATGCATTAGGAGACAAAGAGGCCTTCCTCAAAGTAACATTCCATTTGATGCGTGGGAAGCTGTTGGTAAATCACCATTTTGCAACCATCATAATAAAGATCGGATTGCTAAAACTTTAGCAGAGGGGGGAGGAGAGGGAAGTTGATGAGGAGCAGGATATTTTAATGGTATGAAATATTTCTTTATAGATTGTGGCAAAATGTTAAAAATTGGTGAATTATTTAGTAAGGATGGTGGGAGTCCTTTGAGCTTTTCTCTAAGTTTCAGATTATTTCAAGGTGTTTCTAAAATGCCCTGTTGGACAAATAATCCATTTCAGGGAATATTATTTTTTTAAAGCCTAAATATAAGTTATATGAGTGAATGTGTTAATCATAAAACTATTTCTAATAGGGAAAAATTGGGAGCAAACTGGAAATGGTTAAATAAATTGAGGCGCATCCACCTAAAGCATGTACCATTTTACATGATTATCGTAAAGGCTGTGAGTACTATGGGAAGATGCTTATGATGTTAATGTACTAGAAAGGAATGTATAAATATGACAGTAGTTGCATTCTCAGTAATTGCTCATCCCTCCTATTACATAAACTTGCTCTAATATTATTACCTTTACGCTTAAAAAAATGTAAGAAAGGAAGAGGGCATAGATAAAATAGAAACTTCAGTGAGTCCTTACTGAGGTGCCTGGAGAGGAATGCTCTGGGGAGAGGGTCAATAACAAGAATTTAATCTCAGAAGCTAGTGTTTGTGGATTTGATGGCTTGAGTTGACAAAATGTCACATTAACTGCCTTTAAAGATGCGGCTGTTTTTGGCATTCTGGTTGCTTCCATATACAATTTAAAGTGCTAGATTTTATTTTTTGTTATTTGAATGTCACTGGCCACTGCCGGTTTTGAAGTATTTGAGGGTCAGCAGAGACAAGCCTATTTCATGGAGATCCTTAAGGGCACCCTGTTATATACTCCCTGAGCTTCCCCAGGGCCTGAGCGAGGCATGAGATAGTAAAGGGAATGTACTTTCTCAGGATTTTTAGGGTACTTAGTGTCTTTTTTTTCCTTTTTAGATTTTCAACAGATCATAAAATGAACTGCGAGTATTTAGAAAAATATTTGTATCAGTATTGATCTCATTTTCAAGTATCTCTGTCATGCCTCTGTGAGGCCTGATTGACAGTTTAGATCCAATAACATTTATGCTCCATTTTATTTTTTAAAATTAGCTGAAGTGCAAGGACTGCAAGGAGTTTGAGATAATGGAGAAAAACAGTTTAACGTCAAGAGGCCTGAGTTCTAGTCCTCAGTCTGCTGTGATCTACATTATCTACTGGTGCCCCTGAACCCTCCAGGGGCTGTTTGATCCTCTGGAACATAAGCTATGTGGTCACATATTCAAAGGTCTTCTCCAGCTCCAACATTTTATGATGCTGTTACTCTAAGAGAAGGATACATCATTGCCATTTCATTATGTAATTAAAGAAGGTTCACATACTATAGTAAGCAATATCCTACATGGGGAGTATTTAAAACAGGGGCATTCATAGTTTATAAGGTACAGAAGCATAGGAAACATTTAATTGGCTAAAAGTTCCACTCAAATAGAACAGAATATATAGGTGGAAAATTGCATCAGATCTGTATACTGAATAATCCTAACACAATTACACCTAAAATCTAAACTGTTTTAGAAGCTTTTAGCAAATTTAGGGGAGAGAATTGGTAATCTTATAATTTATTTGAGATTAGCCAGTTTACATTGGTTGAATTTGTGGGCTTCCTTTAACTTGAAAATGTTTCTGCTCCTACAGGTGGGCTCTGTGGTGGCTGTGGGCTGGATCCGTTCCCGGAAGGCCGTGGACTGGCACCTCTTCCGGAACATCTTTCTGGCGTGGTTTGTGACTGTCCCTGTGGCTGGACTGTTCAGTGCTGCTGTCATGGCTCTCCTCATGTACGGGATCCTTCCATATGTGTGATTTCTCTTCTTCCAACCAGCAAACAAGGGAGAGTCTGGCATGGGGATGCATGGGAGGTGTGTGCCCACATTTCACACACGTACATGCATCCTGCCCATGCACCGGCTGTCTCCCAACCAGCCTCTCCATGCACCTTCAGATGGTTCCAAACCACACTGTTCACCTAGGTGGTAGAGTCATCTTCCAGAGCTAACTTAACTACTGTACATAATAAGTGCATTAAGCTGGTATTGTGGTGATATAACGTGGTGCAGTTACTTATATATTAAATATATATTGTATAGAATAGGTAGCATTATTTCAAATATATTCAAAACGGGAGTGGAGATAATTGCCTAGATTCAATATTCAGCAAATCTTTGTACATAGTGATTTCAGTGGCAAATTTTGAAAACCTTTTAAAAGGAAAATGTAGATTGGAAAATGCTGTTTTTCCCATTTAATATACTGTAAGATAGCTGAGATACAGGATGTGTGATACAAATTTGGGAAGGTGTACGAATGTCAGAGTGCTATTGAATACTGGAACAGGAGTTCCCAAGTGCTTTCACTGAAGAGTTTGTTCATATACTGTGTATTGATTATGTAATATATCATAATTGCTTCTGTAAATACTTAAAACTGTAATTTTTTAATGGTGTGCGCTTCCTAGTTTTTTTGATCAGAGAATTTTTGGAAAGTACCAAAGAAGCAGGGGAATAGTTTGCCAGTATTATATTTTCATATTGTTTGTCTCCCCTCCTTATAGCCCTACCATTAACCTGGGATGTGGCAAGACCGCTGTGCTCTGGCCTGCCCAGAGCAGTGTGCGCAGTGAGGCACCAGCCCCAATCCTGTGCTCGTCCCACTCCCGCTTCCGCATCCCACCCACCCCCACCACTGCCACCACATGCCAGATATTGGTCAGCCCTGCAGTGGCCCCTTCATTATCGTCAGTGTAGAGAATGTACAGAGGATGTGTACTCAAGCACTACATGTCAAATCCAGTTTTAATTTTCACTCCTATTCTCCCCTGCAGCCGGAAGGAAGGAATTCTTGTCTCACACATTGAGGCAAGTACTCTGACATTCTGGAAATTCAGGAGGGGGGGGTTGAAATATCAGACTATACACTGGATTTGAGAATTCCCTTGAGGCCTTCACTAAGCTGAACATCCTGATGCTCTACTGTAGTCCCATTGGATTTTTTTTTTGATAGCGGGAGGAAGTATGACTAATGTTAGAGCCTGAAACTATGGAAATGCTGCTAAAATTTTTATATTTACAGACATTTTCTCGGTACTTCATTGTGATTTTTCATTAATCAATCATATTAAATTTATAATAAAAAATGCCCCTCAAAAGTCTGCCTCTGAAGTTCTTTTCTAAATACCTATATAATGATTTTTGTCTAGAGTTTCCACAAAAATAAAAGCTATATAATTTGGTTACTTGAATTTTTCAAATACCCTTTTCCCCTTATTTTACTACTATTACATGTTTGTGCAGAAAATACATGAGCAAGAAAGGAAAGAATGACCCACACAGCTCAGCATCCCGAAATCCCCACTGTTAACATATACAGTGATCCTTCAGTAATGAACTATCTGATGAAAGGATTTGTCACTCTACAGTTGGCCAGATTTCAGGGCGAAGGAACTAGCAGGAAAATGCACATCCTTTCTTCTTGGCTTAAGCATCCAAAAACAAAACAAAAACACACCTACTTGGAGCTTCTGAAAGAATCTCCTTCAGCTTCAGCCTCTGCAGGAGTCACAAGCTCTAGTTCCTTCCCAAGCCAGGAAGATGAGAGAGATGGGGAAAACTGGCCAGGTGTTAAACATTCTTCATCTCCACAAAGAAATGTGCCCTTTCCAGTGTTCAAAATGGCATTTTAGGCCTTTTATTTGTTCACTTATGATAAAACCATAGATTCAAGAAGTAGTTCAATTTCCTTCTACATTTATAAGAAAAATAACAGCACAATGACACAGTGGCAGTTTTTGCAAGCCGCATCGTGGGAGAAGGGCTGCCACCTCAGCCCGGCATAGCCCCAGTAGCCAGGGTGGCAGAGGCCCAGGCCGGGGAAGCAAAGTGGGATAAAGGTCACACCAGCACCTAGTCTTCGAATGACTAAGCACCTAACCATGTCACTGGCAATGTGCAGAGAAGCCTTGCCCACTGCACCCCTTCCTCTCCTCCCTGTTATCTGAAAGAGATGGCCTCCCCCCTTCCCCTTCCCATGAGGGCAGGGAGGTAAGCTCAAGCAGAGGATGGGTCACCTTGGAGCGGCAGAGATGCTGGTAGAGGGCTCCACTGCCTGGGTCATCTGAGAGTCCCTTTCTCTAAGTTAATTAGCCTCTTCCCCTAAAAATGAAAATACTACTGGACAAGGGTTAACTCCTGTGTCCTTGGTATCTTACTGTGATTTTGTCACCAGATCACCCTGCTATCATAAGAGAGCTGTTTGGAGCCAAGAGGAGTGCCCTGGAGACTGCTGCCTTCCCAGTGTCTGGGCTCCTCTCATAGTAGCAAAGTTTGCATGGAGCACAGGCTGTCAGATGGAGTCTGAGCACCAAAGACAATGTTCTTCTACTTCATTTTCTACCTTTCAAAAGGACTGAACTTTTGAGCAAGTATGTAAACATATTTATTCATTTTCAACAAAATAAGATGTAGAATAAAAATTAAAACCATTCCATGAAACAAAATGAAGGATAAAAATCATATGATCATATCAGTAGACGCAGAAAGAGCATTTGACAAAATCCAGCATCCATTCATGATAAACACTCTCAGCAAACTGGGAATAGAGGGAACATACCTCAACATAATAAAGGCCATATATAACAAACCTATAGCTAACATCATACTCAGTGGAGAAAAGCTAAAAGCATTTTCTTTAAGATCAGGAACAAAACAGGATGTCCACTTTCACCACTTATAATGGAAGTCCTAGCTATAGCAATCAGACAAGAAAAAGAAATACAACTCATCCAAATTGGAAAGGAAGAAGTAAAACTCATTATTTGCAGGTGACATTAAACTATTATACTATAGAGAACCCTAAAGATTCCATCAAAAAACTACTAGAATTGATAGATAAATTGAGTTAAGTAGCAGGATGCCAAATATTCAGAAATCAGTTGCATTTTTATACACCAATAATGAACTATCAAAGACAGACATTAAGAAAACAATTCCATTTACAACTGCATCAGAAACAAAACATCTAGGGATAAATTTAACCAAGGAGTTAAAAGACCTGTACCTGGAAAAGTATAGGACACTGAAGAAAGAAATTGAAGATATGAATAAATGGAAGCATATACTATGCAGATAGGAAGAACTGACATTGTTAAAATGTCCACACTACCCAAAGCAATCTATAGATTCAATGTAATCCTTATCAAAATACCAATGGCATTTTTCACACTACTAGAATAATCCAAAAATTTATATGGAACCACAAAAGACTCTGAATAGCCACAGCAGTCTAGAGAAAGAAGAACAAAAGTATCATACTACCTGTTATCAAACTATACTACAAGTCTATAGTAATCAAAACAGCGTGGTACTGGCATAAGAAACAAACACATAGATCAATGAAACAGAATAGAAAGCCCAGAAATAAACCCTCTCCTGTATGGTCAATCAAAATACGACAAAGGAGGCAAGAGCATATAATGGTGTCTATTCAATAAATGGTGTTAGGAAAATTTGACAGATATATGCAAAAAAAAAAAAAACTGTACCACCAACTTACACCATACACAAGAATAAATTCAAAATGAATTCAAGACTTAAATGTATGACTCAAAAACCATAAAACTCCTTGAAGAAAACATAGGCAGTAAACTCTATGATATTTCTCTTAGCAATATTCTTTTCTGGTATATCTTCCTGGGCAACTGAAATAAAATAATAAACAAATGGGACTACATCAAACTAAAAAGTTTTTGCACAGCAAAGGAAACCATCAACAAAATGAAAAAACCTACTGAATGAAAGAAGATATTCACCAATGACACATCTAAGGAGTTAATATTCAACATTTATAAAGAACTCATACAACTCAACACCAAAAAAAAAATCCAATTAAAAAAAAAATAAGCAGAGGACCTTAACAGACACTTCTCGAAAGAGGACATACACATGGCCGGTAGACATATGAAAAGATGCTCAGTGTAACTAACCATCAGAGAAATGCAAATTAAAACCACAATGTCAGAATGGCTATCATCAATGAATTAACAAGTGTTGGCGAGGATGTGGTGAAAAGGGAAACCTTGTGCACTGCTGGTGGAAATGCAGATTGGTGCAGGCCACTATGGAAAACAAAGTGTAGGATCCTCAAAAAATTAAAAATAGAACTACCCTATGACCCAGCAATTCCTCTTCTGGGTATGTATCTAAAAAAACCCTAATTTGAAAACATATATGCTCCCCTATGTTTATTGCAGCATTATCTACAACAGCCAAGATATTGAAGCAACCCAAGAATGGACAAGTGGATAAAGAAGTGGTGGTACATATATACAATGGAATATTATTTGGCCATAAAAAAGAATGAAATCTTTCCATGTGTGAAAACAGGGATGGATCTAGAGGGTATTATATTAAATGAAATAAGACCAAGAAAGAAAAATACTGTATGAGAACAAACTAATGGTTGCGGATGGAATGGGTTTGGGGGCTGGGTGAAAAGGTGAAGGGATTAAGAAGTACAAATTTGTAGTTACAAAACAGTCACAGGGATGTAAAGTATACAGCATAGGGAACATAGTAATATTGTATTTGAATAGGTACTTGAATTATCCAGGGGAAATCACTTGTTAAATTATAAAGGGTGGGGCAAAGGTAGGTTTACAGTTGAGAGTACATGAAACACGGTTTGTTCTTTTATTATTATTTTCCGTATGAACTGTAAACCTACTTTTGCACGACCCAGTATAATTGTCTAACTGCTATGCTGTACACCTGAACTGTAATTGAAAAATAAAAAACATTCCATGGTTCAGAGCACATGGTGGTGACATGATCTATGGCATCAATGAGCTTATTCAATTACAAAGTGAGGCAGGAAAAAGCATGCTTTAAGATCAAGCAGTGTGTTTTGTTGAGTCCTCAGATGAGGTTTTATCTGCCTACCTGAGGGAGACCAAATTTGCCCATTGCCTTGAAGTGTTCCTGAGGCAGTGATTCCTGGAGTCTACAGGAACTGGGCTCAGATTTTAGTAATTTTAACCCTATTAGCAACAGTTGCCTTGCAATGGGGACAAGTGAGACCATCTGTGGGGCTCTAAGGAATTCTGGGGGACAGTGTAGCGAAAGGGACCGCTGCAGGGCTGGCCCAGAATAGGGCCCCATAAACGAGTGTTTCCTTCCCTGGTGGATGAATGGTTGGTTATCCGTGACCTCACTTTTTATGAATGATTCCCCTCAGGACTGCTTGAAGGAGAGCATTAAATCAGATGAAGAAGAAAAGGAACAGAAGATAAACCACAGTTATATGAATGAGACAAAACAGCTAGAGAATAAAAGAAACTGGAGAATGGGTTCTCTGCACACTTGGTGGGGTTGCTGGTGAGACCTGTAGGATACGACTCAGTTATCATAAGGGGAAGGTAGCCTGTTCTTAGGTTGTCACGCTCCTGAGTATTTTTATAGCGCATCATCTTTTATTACTGGAAAGACAGTGAAACAACCCTGGAGCATATTCTGAAAACAGGAAAGTCACCTGTTCGCCATCATCCCACCACCATCCTTTTTGAAACACCTGGAACTGGCCAGGCGCTGGGAAGCTAAGGCATGGAATGAGATAAAGATTAGGCAGCCAAATGGTAACAGGGCCAGAGTAGGCCCCAGACTTCCTGACCTTCTCTCAGTCTCTCCCTGTGCAGCAGCTGTCAGACTGTCCACACTGCAGTCTCGAGAAAAAGGACTGCTGTAGGCCTGGGAGGAGGATTTGGAGAAGGAACATTGATAGGTAGTTAAGAGCTTGGAAAGAAGCCAAGGATGAAAGGGTGAGGTTTATTGTTTTTTATAAAGGAAACATTAGGAATTAAATCTGATTTTGAGAAATTTCAGACTCAAGGGTGATCAATGTTCTCCATCTCCCCTGGCTAGAGAACAAAACAAAACAGCAAAAGGGATTTGGGCCAGAGTAGGATGGACAATTTCCTTGCCTTTCCCCAAGGCTTGACATTTAGAGGTTAAACCAAACCCTGAATGTAGAGATTCCAATAATGAGTAGGTAGGTGCTGGGGAAGGGAGTCAGAAGGAACGGACCCCACAGCCAGGCCATCTTCCATTGGCAGCAACAGCGGCACCCAGTGGGGTCAAGTGTAATTGCAATTATGACCATCTTTCCAGAACTTATTTATTATCTATCTTTATTGTTGAAAGTATTACAGATGTCTCCCTTTCCCCCCATTGACCCCCTCCACCCGGTATA